GGGGGGGGGGGGGGGGGGGGGGGGTGAAATAGGCATGCAGGAATAAGTGAGTGCTTGCATGCGAGTGTGTGTGTGTGTGTGTGTGTGTGTGTGTGTGTGTGTGTGTGCGTGCGTGCGTGCGCGCGAGCTCGCACACGCGCATGCGCGCGCGCAGACGGGCACGTGTTTGCTTGTAAGTGCGGGAGTGTGTGTGTGTGTGTGTGTGTGTGTGTGTGTGTGTGTGTGCATGTGTAGTGGTGTGTGCGTTTGTGAGGGGCCGGCGGTGCTGGTCACGGGGCAGGGCAAGGGTCTGATGAGAAGGGGCAGCCAGGGCTGCGCGGTACGCGGTGCGCCAGCAAGCGTGGTGGTGTGCTTTCATCCATCCAGTGACCGCGGCGGCTGGCGCACTCACTTGAGGCCGGAGATGCTGTCCACCAGGGGGGCCGGCACCAGCTCATGCTGCGCAGGGCGGGAGGGGGTCGGCGGGTTGGGGGCTGCGTCGGCACGCCTCCTGCGGCACGCCTCCTGCGCCGGCCCGGCCGCGGCGCCGAGGCCTGCTGCTTCGAGCTCAGGGCGGCTCCGCGGCAGCGGCCTGGACGCATCGGCGGCGCGCAGGATTCTACACTGAATGCTCACGTTCTTCTGTCCCATCTCTACTGCCGTGAGGACCCGAAACTCTTCCTTGCTCAGGTACCGCAGCACATTGACGTCCAGCTTCATGGCTGATGTCTGGATTAGGTGCGCAGCAGAACACTCCTGCGCGGTGCACGGGTTGCATGCGGGCGCCGTGCGGGTCGGCATGGGGTTGGTACGGCGTCGTATGAGCCACGCTCGCGCAGCAGCAGCGGCGGCGGAGCGCAGCGGCAGGCGGCGCCTCATAGCCGTGGGAGCCCTGGGGCGTGCCACAAGTCCCAAAGCATTTGATATGACCTGGTTAACGCATGCGCTCACTTTTCAGGGCCTCGTATTTTCGCCGCCGTGCGCCAAGTGTCAGGGCTGGGCTCGAAAAAGATCGCCGCGCAGTCCGACTATGCTGTATGTACAACGAGTTCCGATAGTGTCTCTAGCGAGCATTGGCCACGCGTGGGGAAGCCAGGCGCACCGCCCATGCGTATGTCACACCAATGGGTGACCCTGCACCAGCTACAGTATCAGTGCGCGCTGTCCAACAAGTTCACTGCAATGCCGGGTCACACCTGGTTGTGGGGAGAACATCACCCGGTGCCATCAGGGTCTGAGAGGCGGTGTTATCAGCTTAAGCGCTATAAACGATCATGCCAGCTGCTCCAGTGCTCGCGCCCGCACTTGCACCTGTTCAC